TGAAAGACTACTGAAAGACGGTCAAGAGTCATTACAGAAGAGAGAATAACAGAGGGCTGAATCTTGACACTTCAAAAAGAATCAACAAACAGAAGACGCTCCAATTAAATTCTGAAATGAAGGACTTAGAGATTTACTGATGTTAAATCCATAAACAGAGCTTGGACGGCCCTGGGCGAGATTCGGGTCTAGACCAGGGCTGACCTCTGAGTCTGAATTGTCATCATGACACAGTGACTGCTTGTGTGACGCTTCATGACAAATGATTTTACTAAGCTATTTTTGGAAGTTTACATTTTCAGAGAAGACATTACACGCAAAAACAAAACTGTTATTTTTCTAAACTGGGAGCGGGGAGTCATTTTGTTGAGGAACAACCAACGACTGTTGACCCTTTGAAACACACTGAATACTGAACAAATGATGCCAGGACATCCTGAGTGGAAGCTGTGAACGCCATTACTTCCCCCAGCAGGGCTGAGAGCCACAGAGTCATGCTGCACCCTGGAGGGAGTCCTGGGTGGTGGAAGATTGAAGGTGCGTGGAGCCCTGAGTTTCCTGCATCCTGCTCTGGAAACTGGCCGATCTGGGTAATATCCACTGCTTGCAACCTTCCAGTTGCCAGACTTAGGAGAACCCATCCAAAGCAGGACAGTCCATGGCCACTGGGCCATTCCCAATCACAGCTTGTTACTGTTCATGGAACCCTCAGACACTAGCATGGAATCCTGCGTGGATTTTGACTCGTTTCATGAGCCAAAACGAAGACATTTCCCCAGAGCTCGGTTCATGAGACAGAGCAGACCCTTGGTGTTTCCAGGTGTGGTATGAATGAGCTTGGGTTCAGGAGGGTTGTTTGATGACGTGCAGTGAGGAGCGAAGGGCAGAGATGCATCGCCCGGTTAGAATGGCCTAGGATGGTGGAGACAGAAAATTTAACAAGCTGATGTGAAAAGCTATTGAGCAGCCAAGAGGTCCTTTGCAACCTCAGTGTGGACACACCAATTATAATTTGTAAGGCTGCAGAATTGAGAGAGCAAATGTCATCAACGGACAGAAACACAAAAACAACCAAAAGCTCACAGAGGGGGCAAAGTGGCAGCCGAGAGGATCCATAGCAAAATTCTCACAGCCAGGAGGCCGAAAGCTAGTCTTCCACAATGAGGACACATCATGTCAATGGTTCAATGTGTAATAAAAAACACTCATCTTGTTGACACTGAAAAATAGAAACATTTCTGCAGTCAATATGGGACAATGTCTACAACCCTGAAACATTTTCTTTTTATGTGTATAAAAGTTTGCATAATAGTCTTTTTGTAATTTTCCTTAAAAAAAATATGGCAACTTTTCAATAAAACGCTTAGAATAAAAGAGTCCAAGGCTTTACAAACAAAAGTAGGTAAAAATATTGTGGTGCAGCTGGGCTCGGTGACTCAGCCTGTAATCCTGCACCTTTGGGAGGCTGAGGTGAGTGGATTGCCTGAGCCTGCAGGTTCGAGACCCGCCTGGGCAGCGAGACCTCATCTCTACAATAAATCAAAAAATCAGCCGGTCGTGGTAGCACATGCCTGTAATTCCGGCTACTTGGAAGGCTGAGGCAGAAGGATCGCCGGAGCCCAGCAGGTCGAGGCTACGGTGGCCCGGAGCGGCCACTGCACTCCAGTCTGGATGACAGAGTGAGACTCCAACTCAAAAAAAAAAAAATTATTGTGGTACAGTTCAGTCTAAAGACACTAAGCACAATAGTGTGACTGTCCAGAGTTCGGGGTGGCTTATTGTAGCATTGTTCACAACAGCAAGGTCATGGGATCAACCGAAGTGGCCATCTATGGTTGTATGGATGAAGAAAGTGTGTGGCAATTACATGCCATGGCATACTATGCAGTCATAGAAAAGAATGAAATCATGTCCTTTGCAGCAACATGGTTGAAGCTGGAAGACAAAGTGAACTAACAGAGAATTAAGTATCATGTGTTCTAGTGGATAAGTTTGAGCCAAACACTGGGTGCACATGGGCATAGAGGTGGAATAATAGATGCCGGGACTCCAAAAGTGTGGGTGGGGCTCAGAGTTGAATAATTACCTGTTGGATACAAAGTTTAATATTTAGATGACTGGTATACTAGAAGCCCAACTCCCACCATTATGCAACATACCCATGTAACAGATATGCACATGTACCCTTGTATTTAAAATTAAAAGTAAGACAGGCACGGTGGCTCACGCCTGTAATCCCAGCACTGTGGGAGGCTGAGGCGAGAGAATTGCCTGAATCCAGGGATTTAAGACCAGCCTGGGCAACTTGATGAGACCTCTTCTCTACAATAAATCAAAAAATTAGCCGGGCGAGGTAGCACGTGCCTGTAGTTCCAGCTACTTGGAAGTTTGAGGCAGGAGGGTCACCTGAGCCCAGCAGGCTGAGGTTGCAGTAGCCATGAGCATGCCACTGCACTCCAGCCTGGGCAACAGAGTGAGACTCTGACTCAAAAAAAAATTTTTTAATTAAAAATAAATTGTGTAAAAATCATTTCTGAGTGGGATCAATTCTACTTCCCAACCAGAAAGCAGCATCCATTCCCCTTCCATTTGAGGTTCTACCAATGAATTCATCCTTAGGACTTCCAGAAGAGTCCAAAACTTGGTTCTAAAATTACTTGGGTCATGGACTTCTTTGAGAATTTAAAGAGCGGTGCTGAACATTTTGCTCAGAAATCTTGTCTGGCATGACACACACAGAACTAGAACATTTCCAAAATGTTCCTGGATCTCCTAGAGTTTGGGAATCCAATTATTTTTGCCTGTATTTCTTTGTTAGATATTTAGATAACCCAGTCCATATTGTAAAATTAGAGATACTGAAACTATGCGCATCAAGGCTTTGCAGTGTAAGAAAAACGTCTGTTGTAGACCCTGAATTTTAAAAATGCTGAATACAAAGTTATACTTCACCATGTTAAAATTATATATAGACACTGAAATCACCAAAAGCAAATGTGAAGAAAGAATGGCAATGATTATCTCTAGCAGGAGGAATTCTGGGTGGTATTCACCTTCTCCTTCATGTTTCTTTCTATACAAGTTGGGTCCACAGATGTCATTCTTGAAAATGTCTCTCCCAGGTGCCACATGGTGTTACCAAGAGGTGCCCATGAGCTCTGGACCAAGCTCACTTGGCTTCTGCTTTGACACCTCAACCCAGGGTGACTACTGGGGGCCAGATCGGGGACAGGATGGAGGGTTGTGAAACCAAAGGGTAAACCTGGGGCATCTTCACAGATACTTGGTTTTGCCTCAAGCTTCAGGAGAAGGTCATGGTTATCCTAACTCTACTCAGAAATGTTGTGGAAGAGAAGACAAAACGCACCTCCTCCAGGTCCTTCCCTCAGGACAGAGACTCAAAAGTAGTCCTTGGGCTTGTGTCCCAGGGTGGGTTACCCCTATCATGACTTGCACTGATGCGCTGGAAACTCAGCATGGAAGAAGTTTGTCTGGAGGTCTGTGCTCCTTGCCATCCCACGTGTCCTGTTGTGTCACCTGAAAAAAGAAAATCAAGGCTTCTCTCATCCATTCAATGCCGTTCCCCTACAACTACCAAGCTGGTGCCACCGTCTTCCACAGAATTTTAAGATTTTTGAGCAAACACCTCCCACGCCCTTCTCCTGACCTACAGGGAACAGGACAGGAAGATCAGTGTGAGTTCTCTTAGCTGACTCCAGGAGGGAGCTCAAAGCCTTCCCACTCAGTGGGTCCCAGTGGTGGGACCACCCTTGACCTCCCAGATCTCCCTCCTCTTAATGAGTTGCTCCTCTCTGTTGCCAGGATGCACTCTGAGCCCCTCTGCAAATTGCTTGTGCAAGGCCAATGGCAGCTTGGTAGACATGCCCAGGTGCATCTTGATTAAAGAAGGCTCCACTGGGCAGAGCCTGGACTGGACTCCCATCCATACCCCAACACCTGCCAACACACATGTTGATGTGGAATGCTTTTATAACTAGGAAAGAAAACCATAGCTTTGAGAGAAAACGTTGACAAACATCAACAGTGCTAACAAATTAAAAGGTGACCAGACATCGTAGCCTCCTGTTCCTGCTGGAAGAATGCATGATCACGTGTGAAATTGTCATTTGAAAAAATAAGATGGAGTCTGATAAAACTTTTAGATCCAATACTAAATGATGGGAGAGAAAGAGAGAGAGAGAGAAGATAGAGAGACACATAAAGCAACACCACAGAGATGGAGTTAGAAAAATCCTATAGTTACAGGAAACTCTGGAAGACTCAGTGAGGGAAAAGATCCCATTTCTGTAATTAACAAGTTGAACAGAAAAATAAATTACATTAAGGAAAAACCTATAGAATAAAAGAGAAGAAAGACATTAGCCAACTGCAGAGTGTGGACTTTATCTGGATTCTTCAGACAAGCAGATTAAATTAAATTATGACATTTGTGACATAACCTGGATTCAGAACACTGAATATTTAGTGATGTTAAGGAGTTATCATGAGTTTTCTAGACGTCAGTGGTGTTATGATTATGTAAGCAAACAACAAAGAATCCTTATCTTTTAGTGATGTGTTTTGAAATAGTTACATGACTGGAATTTTCTTCAAAATTGGGGTTGGGGGGCATAAGTTGATAATTACTGAACACAAAAGTTTCTCTTTTAAAGAATGTATATGTTTGAAATTTTCCATTAAAAGAAAAGAATATTGCAAGAACAGGCACACTGGGTGGGTTATTTCCAAGGACACTGGAACCAAAAAATCAGGGGAGGAGAAAGAACGACAGACCCTTCAGTCAAGGAGGGGAGAGCAGAAAGGGCGAGAGAGAGACTTGTAGGACAGGAGTATTGGCCTGGGGAAGTAAGCACTGAAAATAACTGTGTGCATGTGACTGTGGTCAGGAAATCACAGCAGCAGCTGCCACAGCAGACCAAAGGCCATCTCTCTTCAAGTTATGGCACTGTCCCTCACCACAGGTCTTTGTCCCCTTCCAGCTGGTCTGTGGGGAACTGGAGTACCTGTAGCCAGACATGTGGTGGGGGCTCCCAGAGCCGCCCTGTGCAGTGCACACAGCAGTCACACAACTTGGAGTCCATCCCAGCCAGCCTGTGCCCACAGCCTGTGCCCTCCAGCAGACAGGCCTGCAATTCCCAAAGCTGCCCACCAGCGTGGAGCTCTGGGCCCTGGACAGAGGTAACCCCAGGCGGGATTGGCAGGGGTGGTGTTGGGCTCCCTCATGGTCTGATTTGCTGCATGCAGCCATTGCTTGACACTGACCTTGGCTCCTCTGTGCAGTGCTCGCGCACCTGTGGGAAGGGGTGGAAGAAGAGGGCGGTGGCCTGCAAGAGCACCAACCCTTCGGCCAGAGCACGGCTGCTGCCAGACACTGTCTGCACCTCGGAGCCAAGGCCCAGGACGCACGAGGCCTGTCTGCTTCAGCGCTGCCCCAAGCCCAAGAAACTGCAGTGGCTCGTGTCTGCCTGGTCCCAGGTAGGCAAACCCATCCCGGTGGAGTGGAGTTGACCAGCTCTCCCCTTGGGGCTGCCTCCTCTCTCCTGCTTTCCCTCTTCCTTCTCCTTTTCCTTCACCCCCCTTTCCTCATGCTGCCCAAGTTCCCAGACAGCTTCAGGCCACCTCTTGGCTTCGGTCAACTTCATGGTGTTCCTCAGTGTCTTCTTTGGCTTTTGAGTTATGTCCTGGGAGAATCTCGCCCGGTGGCACCCACTTCGTCATCCCTAAGCCAGTGTCCAACAAAGGATGAGAATGTGGGGCCAGGTGCCGTAGCTCATGCCTATAATCCCAGAACTTTGGAAGGCCAAGGCAGGAGGATCACTGGAGCCCAGGCGTTCCAAACCAGCCTGTTCAACATAGCAAGACTCTCTAACATAGCGAGCACATCTTTACAAAAAAAAAATTTTAATTGAAAAATGTGTAGAGCTTGGTGGTGCACACCTGTAGTCCTAGCTATGTGAGAGGCAGGAGGATCACTTGAGCCCAGGAGTCCAAGGCTTTAGTGAGCTACGATTGCACCACTGGGCTTTAGAGCCTGAGAATGTCTCTAAATGATTTGGCAAATAAATAAAAGTTAAAAAGAGAAGGCCAGAAGGGGAGCGCATATGAGAAGAGAGGTCCACTCCTCATGCGGACAGCAGGATCCTGGAGACTCCCCTCACTCCACCACAAGGGTGGCCGTTTTTCAGGAATCGTGTAGCCATTGGAAATCAGGGAGGAACTGGGTTACTTTGGGCAGGCATGGAGTGCCCATTTCCTGAGGTGTGTCTCCACGGGCAGCCTTTGCAAGTGTAAAAGGAACACGTTGGCTTTGCTGCAAGTCTAGTACTGCTGTAGGCTGGAGGTCTTTTTGTATGCACCACTTGGACCATGTCCTGGACCTTTTTAAAGAGGAACTAATGTCAAGGAATGTGAGTTTGGAATATTGATGGCTTCGTCTCTAGCCTTGGCCCAAGTGAGCCCAAAAGGACTTCGGGAATCTTACAACCACGGAGTAAAGCAGCTCTCCCAGCCCAGGTTACACCTGTGTGAGCGGAGTGTTGAGAGCATGTAGTCAGAGCTGCCCCTCTTCAGGGGCACCACAGCCCTGCCCACGCCCATCCTCGCTCCAGGGCTGGACCCCGGTCTCACTGGCACTGTGTTTCCCCAGCACCTGGAATGACCCCTTGATCATGATGGTGGAATGTGCCAAGCTGGGCATTGAATCCCATCCAGACGCTATTTCAGTGTGCTGCTGAAAAATAAAAATGGCCTTGATTGCTGAAGTGAGCTTTGCACGGCCCACAGAGTGCTCCAGGTCCTCTTGCTCCTGGGCATCAGAATGACAGCGTCTCAGGAATGCACTGTCTCACAAGACGTTTCTGTGATGCAGATCCCTGGAGACTGTGTAGCTACATGCGACTTGGGCTGCCTTGTCCATGGGCAGTGTCCAGGTAGTGTCCTTGCCCTAAGACGTAATACATGCACGCACAAATACGCACACACACACACATATGTACATGCACACACACACACGAAGATGCACACTCATGCACACACACACACATGCACGCGCCAAAGCTGCTCCCTTAGGCACAGCCCAGGAAACAACTGAGAGGAGACTCCCAACGCAGTCTCTATCTTGGCATTAGGGAGCACCACAAGCACAGCGTCAGCCTAAAGGGCGTGAGGTTGGAACCTGGGCAGGTGCGGGGCCGGGACCTCTCTCCCTGGAAGTTCAACCATATGCCTTGCTTCTGTGTGTCCTCCCTGCATGGCAGATGGCAGGGCCTGCAGCGTCTTCCTGTCTTGCTGGTTTGCCCAGGGCCCCTCTGCTCAGGCCAGGGTGTTCAGCAGCCAGGACAGCTCGAGCTTAGCGTAGGCTGCCGCAGAGAACGGCTGGAACTGCTCTCCAGATATGTGCCTTCCAGGCAGCACTTGCAATTCTGAGGAAGATTTGTGAGCCCTGGGTTTCTTCCACCTGCCCCTGGTTCAGGTGCCAGCATATCGCCTGCCATCACGTGCATTAGTCCGTGGAACTGTGGCGTTCACCACACGCCCTTGTGTATTAAATTTCAGTATATTCTGTTATCAGTGACAGCCCTACATTTTAATTGTTCCATGAAGTGGTAGCTTTGGAGTTTCTCCCTTCTGCCCTGCCCCTATTTATAACCCTATTGATGCTGTGCCACTGTGTCCTCAAGATCTTCTTTTATATGATAGTTACTATAGTGCCTTTTAAGCATGCCAAGTTCCAGTGAATTTCCAGTGAATTTCTCCAAATGTCTACACTTCTATAAATGTTCAAGTTGATATCCTTGGGAGACATTTTAACCCACAGATTTTGCATAAAAGGTATTTTTCCATGACGTCTCTTGTTCTCCCACTTTTAGTGCTCCATGACGTGTGAAAGAGGAACGCAGAAAAGATTCCTGCAGTGTGCTGAGAAGTTCGTCTCTGGGAAGTATCGAGAACTGCCCTCTAAGAAATGCCTGCATTTGCCGAAGCCCACCCTGGAGCTGGAACGCGCCTGCGCCCTGTTTCCGTGCCCCAAGCACCCCCTGTATGCCGCTGCGGGGCCCTCGAGGGCCGGCTGGTTTGCCTCACCCTGGTCTCAGGTAGGGGGAGCTCTGAATTCCTGAAGAGTGGGTGGGCACAGCCCGGACCCCAGGAGGGAGCAGCTGGCTTACGGGGAGGCTTCTGAGGGTGGATTTCCAAGGCAGGCCAGCATTTCATGAGGCTTTCTTTCCAGAGTGAGCGCGGGTGGCCTGCTCCAGGGCGGGTGCGGCTTTCTGGGCACGGCCTCCAAATGTGACTGAATCTCCCAGGGCACATGTGTTTCACACTAAATGTCACCCAATTAAGTGTAAGGAAATGTAATGCTGTGGGAGAGTCTGGGCAGAGCTCCCTGGAGATGAGTTTGAGCGGGGCAGGAACACGAGATCTGGGATGAGTGGGCGACTGCAGCGTGTTAGCTGCTGGGCCCGCCCTCGCTCCCGGATCTGTTTCCCTCTCGGGCTCCTGACGGCCCGTCCTCCCCCTGGAAGTTGTAGATCTGCCCCTTGGGCTCTCTATTTCCAGATTCCTCCTTATCCCAGTCCCTGCTCTCACTCTTCTCTCTCCTGCTGTTGCCTCTGCGCAGATCAGGGTGGGCCCAGATATGCAGGGGGGCCAGGGGCTGACGCCTGCCCGGGCTTTGCTGGCCATGAGCCATGAGCGTCCACACCGGCTTGAGTCTGCCCAGGACAGGGGCCCTTTTCCTTTCCTGGTTTTCTGATCTGGTGGCTGGGAGCGCCAGGCTCTTCCTGATCTTCTCGGTGGTTTCCTGCCTGTTGCGGAGAGGCCCCAGCTCTGACTCCTTCCCACGCAGAGAAGGGAGGCGGGAGGGGAGGGGAGGAGAGAACCTGTTCACGGCGGTGGTGTGCAGCGGGTTGGAGAGCACGTGTGGGATCAGGAACCTGGGCCATGACCCCATGGGGTGTGTGTGTGTGTGTGTGTGTGTGTGTGTTTGCCTGAGGGAGGCACGCTCCTGTAGAAAGCAAACGGGAATGCAGCATGACGAGCACATAAAGTGTCATCCACAGTTCACATCCTGGTCAGGCTGCCAGGTCTTCAGGCACCCAGATTCTAGGGAAGAATTGGATCCGGTAAGTTTTTAAGAATTGAAGAGCTGCCATGATGGACCTGCCAACATGCCACGGCCACACCATGAGCAGCAGGGTACTTGCCTGCACAATCTGTCTTGGAAAGGAAATCGGTGTCAGGGGCAGGTGCCCACTGATCATGCAGCTAGGCAGAGGCATGGGCGGGAGGCGGCTGAGCTCCAAGACCAAGTGTGACCCACCTGCTTAGCCAGAGGGACCGTTAGTCCTGGACCGTGGCCGACTCTCTGCAGCTCCAGTCTCTCCTCTCGTGTTCTCTCGTCCTCCTCCCGTGATCCCTCCTAGTCCCTCATTTCCTTTCCTGGGTCCCCTTCATTTGCTGCCGGTCATCTCTCCTCTGGAGAGGGACCCCACGCCATGCCTCACTGGCAGGGCCCAGTGCTGAGTAGTGACTCCAAAACTCACATCCCCCCAGACCCTGGCATGTGGCCTTATTTGGAAATGGATGCAGGTGGCATTAACTGGGATGAGATCATCCCAGATTAGGGTGGGCTCTGGACCCAGTAACTGGCTGCCCTTGTGAGAAGCCATGTGAGGACACAGAGACTCCCAAGGGAGTGACTGCCCATGATGGCTGACAGGCAGAGCTTGAAGTGATGCACAGACAAGCCAGAGAACACTCAGGGTTGATGCAACACCAGACTCCGGACAAGGCATGGACGAGTCTCCCTCTGAGCCTCCAGAAGGAATGACCACCACTGGCTGTACTGTGATTTCATATTTGTGGCCTCCCAAACTGTGAATACATTTTGGTGTCTTAAGCCCCTCATTTGTGGCAACTGTTACAGTCCTCAGGAACTAACAGGTGTTACTTGTGTCCTTGTCCCACTGTGCCTCCTCCTGACCCCACCAGAGGGCAAGCCATCAGAAGACAAGCGTCTTATTTCACTTGCTGGCCACGTAGCCCTCTCTCAGAGCCGTGAGGATCATGGCACGTGGACAGCAGGGGCTAGGTCTTACCAAGTACTCGTGCTTCCTGTCGGCACTTGGTCTTCTCTCTCAGGGAGATACAGGAGACTCTGCATGGAGACCCCGAGGCCCTGTACCTCACAGCCTCCTGTGGCCGGGACAACAGAGAAGGGACAGGCTTGCGAGTTATTCCACTCTCAGCTCCCGTGGTTTCCCGAGAACCAGGTGATCCGGCACCGCACCCAGCCCCTCACAAGCACTTCCACCACCACCGACACTCAGGAATCAGCAATTCGCCAACTTCAAGCCCACCCTGAGTGGAGAACCAAAATGAGCCGCAGAAGTTTGGCAGACAGAAATCACACAGTATTACTCTTTTTGCTAAGCCCAAAGAAACAAGCAGAAGTATTGGCCAGAACCAATTTAATCCATCCTGGAACCGTTTTTTCATATTGCTCAAAGAAAGCCAGTTCAAAACTTCCTCCAGTGAGGCCACTGCTTCATTCTGCAGGAACTCTGGGAGTGTGTGTGTGAGGCAGGGCTGTATGCATTCATAAGCTTCTTTTAGAACCATGATATCCCAGCCTGGCCACTGCTGTCCCTCAAGTGACACCACATAACTCTTGGCCCCCATCTCCAAGCTCTGCAGACAGAAACCCACACACAAGGGAGACCTTTCTCTTCCTGGGTTCCATGCTAGTTCCTGCTGCCCTCAAACCAGAGACAACTTTTTTCATTTAGAAATACGCAATCTCCTTCCCAAAAGATATTTAAATCAGAAATAATGTAATTTAAATAGTTAGAGCAGGGGACTTTGAACTCTGTTTTTGCAAGGATTTTTTTTTTTTAATCTCTATTTTTCTTTTTAGATTCAAACCGTATGCATATGGGGTTGGCTACACGAGTATATTGCGTGAGGGTGATGCTTGGGCTCTTAATGAGCCTGTCACCCAGGTGGTGGGCATGGTATCCAGTGAGTAGTTTCCAGCTCATACCCTATCCCTCCCTCTCCCCTTTAGGAATGCCCTGGGATCTGTTGTTCCCATCCTTGTGCCCATGTGTGCTCAGTGTTTAACCCTGCTTGTTAGGAAGAGTGTCTGATATTCGCTCAGGATGATGGTCTCTAGCTGCAGCCACAGTGTGCTGCAAAGGATGTAATCTTGTTCTTTTTGTGGTGCATATGTACTGCATTTTCTTTATCCAGTCCACTGCTGATGGGTACCTAGGTTGGCTCCATGTTTTTTCTCTCGTGGATTCTGCTGTGATGAATTTGTTGGGCACAGGTGTCTTTTTGGTGGAGTTATTTGTACTCCTTTGGGTGTATTTCCAGAAGTGGGGTTGCTGGGTCGAATGGTACATCTGTTTTTAGTTCCTGGGGAGATCTCCAACCTGCTTTCCACAGAGAATGAACGAGTTCATATTCCAACCAACAGTGTATGAGTATTCCCTTTTTTCCATGTCCTCGCCAACACCTGTTTTCTTGCTTTTTGGGTTTTTGGTTTTGGGGAGTTTTTTACTTTTTAATAAAAGCCCTCCTGACTGCTGTGAGATGGCAACTCATTGTGGTTCTGATTTGCATGTCCCTGATGATTGGTGAGAAGTATCAGCAGCTACACCTTTTCCCCAGGTGGCCTCTCTTCATTTCTACTGATCACACAGTCTTTCGCCCTTCTCAGATAGTTTCAGGCCAAATGTACTGTCATCATCTTTCAAAATTCTAAGCAGTGCACAGAAGAACAAGAGCCGGCCTGTTGCCACTGATGGTCAGGTCACCAGTTGCACCTCCAGAGTTCGAGGGAGTTTGTATTTGTGACCAGCAAGAAGTGGCCGGTTAGCTCAGAAACGGAGTCAAGATTTCTTGGGCATACGCTTTGCTTTCTCTGTTCCCGAGAGGTGTGGGGCAGCGACATAGGACACTGGAGATCACAGAACCAAACCCCTGTCCCCAGGCTGCCGAGCCAGTGGTCACCCTACCTTGCAAAGGGCAGCGACTTCAGGCAAATTTAGAAAGTGAAAAACAAGGCTTTTCATTATTTGATTTAAACCCAGACCTAAAGCCTAAAATACTTTCATAGCTTTTCCCAGTCTGAAATATTCAAGCAGTCTGTCTAATAAGTCATTTTTATCAGAAGCTGCCTGAAGTTTTTATCCACTGTGATTCATGTATTACGTTCTGGGACTGTAGCTTTTGGGGGTGGGTGGTCATAACTCAGGGGGCTGTGTCTGCTGTGAGCCCTCACACCCAAGCCTCTGCCTTCACGCTGTGGGAAATTGTCAGGCTGTAATGAATGTCCAGGGCCTAGCTGAACTTTGCCACCAGATAGGTTTATTCTCGTAGCTGTCTGAAGGTCACCGTTTCTATTATCTGGGCCACAAGATTCCCATTGATTTAAGTGCTTTGCTTATCTGCACGTTTCATGGTGTGCAGCAGTGAGGATCGACTTAAACCCCTGGAGTCATCTGGGCTTCGTGTCAGGTGGTTCTCACGATAACTTGGACTGGGAACGGCTTAAGTACGATCACCTGTCAGACCCGCTGACTTCACAGCACAGAGTCAGGTGGTTTGTCAGTGCTGGGCTCTTTCTAGAGGTTCTTCACCAGGATCAGGCAGAGATTGATTTGGAAACCCACGCTCTGAGAGGCAAGGAGCTGTGTCACAGAACACTTAGTCCAATTTCCACCCTGGCAATTAAGCCTGCAAGCTGCACCCAGTTCACATGCACACACACACACACACACACACACACACACACACACACACACACAAAACGCATAGCAACTTCAACAGACGAGGACTGAATGGGAGCTCTGCAGCCCACCCGAGAGTGCTGCCCTGCTTCCTTTTCATTCAGTCACCCACCTCGGATAGTTTCAGGCCAAATCTACTATCATCATCTTTCAAACTTCTAAGTGGTTGCACAGAAAAACAAGAGCCAGCCTGCTGCTATTGATGGCCAGGTAACCAGTTGCACCTCCTGAGTTCGAGGGAGTTTGTATTTGTGACTAGTTGAATGAACCAAACTTAACAACCCCGTCTATGTGACAGC